GTGGCGTCCGCCCGCGATTAGGGTTTCATCGGTCGCGGCGGTCGCCGATGCTCGTCGCGAGTGTGGCGTCCGCCCGCGATTAGGGTTTCGCTGGTTGTTCCGACTGTTGCGCGGATCGTTCTGACGGTTGATGTGTTAGTGGGAGAGCGGGGAGAGCTGCGAGAGGCGGAATTGACCGTAGGAAGGAGGGAGGGGGGCGCTGAAATTTAGCGCAAGGGGAGGGGGGGCCGTGACGGCGTAGGGGCGCTCTAGGCGCAAAGAGCGACGTAGTGTCGCGTGAGAGAGGGGGGGCGTGATATAGCACGCGGTATGTACGGTCCTTAGGATCGTAGATGGTGTGAGCCGTAGTTGCTCTGATTACCATGTGAGAAAGATGTAAGAAGAACCGATAGTTTCATTAGGAAGGGCATGGGTTTACATAGTAGAGCTAGGATGTAGGAGCCATGCCAACATTATTGGCCCACCACCAATAAGTTGGGTTGAGGAATTATTGGTGGGACCAATAATGTTGACCAAAAATGGGTCAACATTATTGGAGGTCCAATAATCTCCCAACCCAACCTTGGGGGCCCAATAATTGGGTCAAGGTTGGGTTCCAACCTCAAACTAGGGTAAACCCTAGTTGTGCACCCAAACTAAGTTTGGGTGCCTATCTCTAACCGAAGCTTATGTGATGATGCAGGTTACAATGAGGATGATAATCTGACATGGAGGGGCTTCAGCGCACGAGAACTGTTCTTTTTGAGTGAGAAGACTCAATGGTACTGAGGAGAAGAGTGAGGGATGATGGCAGGGGGAACAGAGAGACGGGAAGGGGATGGGATGATAGGGTAGGGTGCTTTGTCGGTTGGCCGAACGCCTTTCGGTTAAGGCAAATGATTGTTTGGTATAAATCTGCCCAGAGGATAGAGCCTGAGAAGATAGAGTGCAAGCGGATAACGCCCAAGAGTATTGGGCCCAAGAGTATTGGGCCCAAGAGTATTGGGCCCGAGAGTATTGGGCCCAAGAGTATTGGGCCCGAGAGTATTGAGCCCAAGAGTATTGGGCCCAAGAGTAGAGGGCCCGAGAGTAGAGGGCCCGAGAGTAGAGGGCCCGAGAGTATTGGGCCCGAGAGTAGAGGGCCCGAGAGTAGAGGGCCCGAGAGTAGAGGGCCCGGGAGTAGAGGGCCCGAGAGTAGAGGGCCCGAGAGTAGAGGGCCCGAGAGTATAGGTTCATGAACACCCGGCACCTGAACATCCCTGCTGTTCATGAACACCAGTTGGCTGGTGTTCTTTTGTTTACCCCAAAGGAGTGCTGCCCGGGTACCCTCGACGGAGGTGACTCAAAAAGCCAACTCGAAATTCAACCAAGACCGCAAAGTGTCAGCTCAACCAAGACCGCAAATGCTCAATACAGAGAAACATGCGGCACGAACAGATACTCCAAGTTCACAAGTGTTGAAAGGGCTGCCGGGATGGATCCAGTGAGCTTGTTGTCACCCAGGCTCCTGCTTATCACGAATAAGTTTGAGGAATAAAATGACACTGTAAGAGGGGGGGCGTGGAACCATGCTAGTATAGAATTCCAGTAGTAAGATGAGGCCACATTGCACCAGCCCAGGGCTTACTGATTGACCAGAGATAGAGGATCTAAGTTGAGTCAGCCGAGCATAGGCTTGAGGTAAGGAAGGAATAGAAGTTCCATTCAAATATTTAAGCGTCAGGTTGGGGTTAATTGCACTTTAAAAATCGTTGGATGCAGATTGAGGTGACTGCTGCAAAATCATGAGCTTCGTCAGAAGCCCGAAACAGGGATGCCCAAGGATGCCTCATGTAACATCCCAGGAAACTTTAGGTGCTTTCAACAGAGCTTACAGGTATCTCAAGTGCACGAGCTGTCCAATAGCAGATGGAATAGATCCTTCTAGCCCAATAGATTTGAGAATTCTGAAAAAAAAAGGGGGAAGGGGGGAGGAGGAGGGAAGAGGGGAGGGAGAGGATGGGAAGTGGGTTAATAGAAGGGGGGGGGGGGGGAGGGGGGAGGGATTGGTGCAATGACTTCAAGCTGGAGTAGAGGAAAAACGGAAGGGCAGCAACATAATGAGAACGATATGATATGAGTTTGGAAACAAAGGAGACAGAGTCTTAGAGGCGTGCAATCGGAGTATTGGAGGAGGAATGAGCAAGCATAGCTCTCTTGTGGTGCCACGTCAGCACTCACAAAGCTCCCACCATCCCTTCGGAGTCGCAGTTCAGCCCCTCGGCGCGCAAGCAGTCAGCGTGCACAAGGTTGGGCCATCCGCTAAAGTTGTGACCCCATTCGCGCTCGCACTCTAGCAGCGGGGGAACTGGTGAAAATCAGGGGAGATTACCAAGGGAAGAGCCCCGCCTGAAATATTTCAAGGCGAAGGAAAGCCTGATTTCATACATAATTCTGTTTGTTTATTTTTCCTGTAGCTGTCTAACAAATTTAAATGAAGGTAAATGTAGATAATTTTGGAACCTCTTGTTACAATCTTCTCATGCGTTTTGTAAGGAACTACAAATCATTTCTGTAGGCTCTCAATATCGGAGATTTTCAGAGGTTCTCACGTCAGTTGGGTTCGGCCTACTACTATTTCGGCCGGAACCACTCCCGAGGCGCCACCGCACCATTTACCACCTTTCCGAGCCTCGTTTTCCCCAAGGTCCTCGCCTAGCTCGTTCTTGCCTAATTCACCCTCGTGTTAGACATTTCAGAGTACGTTATTAGTTCATGAAACCCGCGCACTCATAACACCTGTCTTGACTACGATTCCGACGATAAAGGATCCTAAAACCGGGGTTCCAAGAGTTTCGAAGTTAGGAAGGTTGCTTGGGGGAAGGGACGTGAGTGGCGCGCGAACCAGGGTGGTGTCGAGTTTTGTGGTTGCGGATCGCAGAGCCTGAGTACCTCGCATCCGTAACCAGATCTTGAATGCAACTGTAGGAATTCATTCGCAACAATTTCGGACGGCCTTCGAAATTGTGAGCGAAATTGTCACTGCTATCGTTCTCGTCAGTACAGCAATTTCGCTTGACGAAATTTGTTTCGACAGTTTGCGAAGCGAGCGAGCATCTACTCGGTCACACCCAACCAAAGTTAGGAAGGTTGAGGCACTTTTGGGCTGTTTGGGACTCCGGTGGGTAAGACAATTCAACCACAAATCTGAACTAAACCTCCCGCATCCTCACCTTGAGATGGGTCAAATCTCTGCTGCCCGACACAGGGACTACCAAGAAGGCTATGAAAACCGACCTCCACAACCACCAGCATGATAAGTTTGGAAAAACGGCCATGCATTGAAATATGTGAATCTAAGCCCATTGTTGCATCTCGACGGATATTGCTGTTAATATGTACAGTTCCACTTCTGCTGGCGCTGGCTTTAGTATTGCTGTTTATGCACGGTACAGGTATAATCGCTCTATCCGCGGCTGTCCGATGTTCGCGAACGCGTTGCGATTCGCGAAAGCGAAGACGTCTGTACACGTACGAAAGAAATCTCCTACCGCAAAGCTAGAGGTCCGAGGTTGTATGCCTCTACTTCACTCTAACAGAGCTTGAGATTTTAAGGACTGAACGCTCCCATCACCCGACATGACAAACGCATGAACACAGAAGACGGGAGACGTCACGGCCTCACAATCACGATTTTGCCATGTTCGCTACCTTACCGTCTCCCCCCGGATATAAGCGCCACCCTAGGATAAGCGCCTGGCGCTTCTAATTGGCATATGGCGCTTATATCCCCTCCTCGATTATAAGCGCACCCCTTGAAAAAACTTGTTTTATTATAAGCGCACGTAAACTTTAAAATTTGAAATGTGTTCAAAAAGCTGTAACGATTTTTACTTTAGCAGGCGGATATGTTGCAGATTCGGTTCCCTTCACATTCGGACCTTGCACTGGATGCGGGTCCAGTCAGCAGGACCTGTCAGGAGCTGGATGTGAGTCAGATTGGGTGTATCTCCCAGCGCGCGCGAGAATTTCACAGACGATCCCATGTAACTTCGACTCGATTGAAAAGGCAAGCACGAGACCTACAGTTTGGTGTTAAAAGATATAAAAAAATGTGTATGTCATTTTATAAACGCCGGCGCTTATAAATTTACTCGATTATAAGCCCACCCCCATGAAAAAACCTGTTTTATTATTGCCCCCCATGGGGGTATATCCGGGGGGATACGGTATGCTTCCTGTCGCGCTTCAAAGATTGCCTACGCAATGACTCATTCGTGCATGCCGCCAGTGAAAAGAGGTTCAAGGTCAAAAAATGAATCAATTCGACAGTTGAGTTCAAGAAGCAGTACGGTAGTAACATGATGGGGAACACTGAATTACGTGCAAGGAAGTGGTAAAAGCACACGAGAGGGGAAATCTTGGTGCAGAAGCGCGGTTCTTGAACTGCGTGAAATGGTGAGGTTACGCTGGCTCGCTGGCTCCCTGGTGAAATGGAGTGTCGGCACGGCAACACCTGTGGAAATGCTCTCTCCTCTACCTTCACCTTCCCTCACCTTTCATCTCGACCTGAAACGCCAGCTCAAAAAACGAAGGAACAAATGCGTGGGTTGCCATTTCACGAGGAAAAGGTGCAGAAGAGGGGATATTTGGAGGATGCGGTAGAAGATCTACAATTTGCTTGCAGTCACTGGAGCAAATCGGCCTGCTGTTCTGTGGGGTGGAGTACGTGCGACAAGGAGAGCAGCGTATTGCACTCCCTAGCCAATCCTCTTCCGCTGACATTTGTACGCCATGGAAGCACATTCGCTTTCAGCGGAACACCTTTAAGTTTGAGTAAGTGTCGCACCAGTAGAAACCAGTTGCCTAAAAACGGATTCCATTCCATATACCCAAGGCTAATGAGTGACTAGTGAGTGGCCCTTTTTTGCACGTCTGACAGAAACCACCACAAGCCAAAGCTACCACCCCTCATCAGTGCTAAGCCAGTAACGAATCTGGATTCACGGTTTTCATTATTGAAAGCTTAGCACAAGCAACTGTTATGGTGGGCCTGCATTCTTCACGATCCAAGGATGCTCTGGAAAATCGGGCAGGGAGAGAAAGAGCGACAAGACAAATATGAAAGCATGACAGGGCTGCTGGAGTGGCAGGAAAAAAACAAACATCCACAACCAAGGCAACACCACAAAGTCTCAAAAAGCAGCGTTCCTTTCCTGAGCAAAGACCAAACTCACCCAGAATCTCTTCAATCGTGATGCGCTTTTTAGGGTTCCGGTTGAGCATCTGGCGAACAAGGTCCTTTGCGTCCTCCGAGATATTGGGCCACGGCGGGCGAACGAGGTTGAGCGTGGCCTCTTTGATCGCCTCAAAGATAGCCTCATTCGTGGTGCCCCAGAAGGGCGGCAGGCCGCATAGCAGGATGTAGAGCACCACCCCCGCGCTCCAGATGTCCGCCTCAGGGCCGTATTTTTCGGCTAAAACCTCGGGAGCAAGGTAGTACGGACTCCCTGCCATGTCTGTGCACGGTTTGCCTGGGGGAAAAGAGGGGGGTGTGGGTGGGGGGGTGCAGTGGGGGGTTGAGGGAGGGAGGGAGGGAGGGAGGGGATGAGAGGGAGAGCCTCACAGCAGGCCGCAGAGCAGGACCTAGAGCACCAACCCCGCGCTCCAGATGTCCGCCCCCGGGCCGTACTTCTCTGCAAGAACTTCTAGTGCTAGGTAGTAGGGGCTGCCTGCCATGTCCGTGCACAGCTTGCCTGGAGGACAGGGTAAGGGAGGGAGGGGATGGAGGGCGGCAGGCGGCACAGCGGGATGTAGAGCACCACGCCCGCACCTAAGTGGCGAAATACGCGTATAGCGTATATACGCATGCGTTTATACGCTATACGCTAAGGTCCCGAATCCAGGAATACGCTTTTTCGGGCAGGGTAAAAAAAACCCGGGCAGGGTGAAAAAAACACCCTAGGTATAGTTCACAGGGGCGATTCACGGAGGTTGTGTCTCAGGTTCATTTTTTCCCCTATGACGCGAAATGCTTAAAGACTTCGTGCTCAACATCGGGAAGTTACTTCCCTAGTCTCACAAAGAGGACGTGCCCTATCGTTATCTTGCGTGGGATCGGGTGGCGGGTTGGGAACAGTAGACATTGATTGCGTTTTGGACTAGGAGTGAGTGACTAGGTGAGTACGACGAAGTAGACCTGACGAGAAACGATGTGTTGGAGGGGGCGTAGTGGAAAGGTTGGAGTTCGTAGATTGGGTTCGGTTCCAAGAGGTGGAACCCTGAAATTCGAAATTGCAACTCCAACCTGAATCCAAACATTGAAGTGACATTCCCGCTACCATAGATCTCCGATGCGCATTTCGACCACCGCGAAATGATCGCCGTGAAAAACGGCAGATTTCTTTATATTCCAGAAAATTTTCACCTTGGGCTGCCCAGAAAAAAACTCCCGAGCGTATTGCGTATTTGCTAGCGTATTGCGTTTTGCATGTATACGCAAGCGGACAAACGCTATACGCTTAAAGGCAAAAGCGTATTTCACCACTTAGGCCCGCACTCCAGATGTCCGCCTCTGGGCCGTACTTTTCAGCCAACGTAGCTGAATTGAGTCGACTCAAAAGCAATGCCAGGGTCCATCCGCGTGTTGGAGGAGTTGCATTTGAGAATTCTCAACAGCAACTCCAACATAGCTGATCTGATCCATCGGTGTCTACAGCATGGTCAGTTATGCACACAAACACACGATCATGCTCACACACGTAAGCACGCATGCACACACACACACACACACACACACACACACACACACACACACAAAAACACACACACACACACACACTCACTCACACACACACACACACACACTCACTCACTCACGCATACACCCGCTCACCTCGTTGGAAGAAGGTGGCAACACCAAAGTCAATCACTTTCAGCTCCGTGTCCGACTCCTTGCTGTTGAGAAAAATATTCTCGGGCTTTAAGTTGACCCCAGGTCGTGGCAGTGCTGCAGCACGCCCATCACCGTGTGCAGCACCCGTGCACCAGCTTGAACACACAGGCTCACACCCACTTGAACACATACGCACGCATCCACTTGAACGCACACACACACTCACTCGAACCCTCTCACACACACACACCCTCTCACCTCGTTGGAAGAAGGTGGCAACGCCAAAGTCAATCACTTTCAGCTCCGTGTCCGACTCCTTGCTGTTAAGCAGAATGTTCTCGGGCTTTAAGTCGCGGTGCATGACGCCCAGCTCGTGGCAGTGCTGCAGCACGCCCATCACCGTGCGCAGCACCCGCGCGCCCTCCGCCTCGCTGAACTTGCCCTTGGCTTTAATGCGGTCAAACAGCTCCCCGCCCTCACACAGCTCCATCACCAGATGCACGTCCTGAGATTGGGAAAGGTAGTATGGGGGGGTGTGGGGGGGGAAGCGGGGGTTGTGGCAGGGGAGGAGACAGGGAGCAGATGGTGGTAGGGAGTGAGATGGAAGTTGGCCCCTCTGCCTCGCTGAACTTGCCCTTGGCTTTAATTTGGTCAAACAGCTCCCCGCCCTCACACAGCTCCATCACCAGATGCACGTCCTGAAAGAGAAAGAGGAAGGGAATGAGGGGAGGAGGTAGGGCGTGGGATGAAGGCTGGTCCCATGGTTCTGCCTTAATGCGGTCGAACAGAGAGCTCTCCCACCTCACACAGCTCCATCACCAGAAGCACGTCCTGAGGGGCGAGTGGGAGGGTAGAGGCGGAGGGAGAAAACGGGGGAGGGAAGGAAGGGAAACGAATGAGGGAAGGTTGAAGAAACGGGAGAAGCCTTGGGGTTATTTTCCCCTTCTTTTGAGTCGACTCAAATGAAGAAACGGGAGAAGCCTTGGGGTTATTTTCCCCTTCTTCTTTTGAGTCGACTCAAATGAAGAAACGGGAGAAGCCTTGGGGTTATTTTCCCCTTCTTCTCTCTGTCTCTCCGTCCGTCCCACTCCCAGGGCCATCTGCTCCCACATTCCCTTCACTCAGCTTGACCACGCCTGAGTGGCCCTGCAACATGTGTGTGCTCAAAGTCTAGTGTTTCTTTATCAATTACAACAAGCTGCAAGCTATCACCGCACACATGCGTTCTCATGTTTTGAGTCGGCTCAAAATACAACTCAGTTACTACAATCTACAAGCTGTCGTCACCACGCATATGCGTTCTCAAACATGCTCCTTAGGTCTGTTTACCACTGTCCGAGTGGACCTGCACTGCAGCATGCATGGGCTTTCAATGTGTTTATTGCCATTGTTCCCAAACCCGATCACCCCTCGCCTCGCCCACCCACCTGTGCATCTTTAAACGTGCTCCGGAGGTTAACCACTGGATGGCCCTGCAGCAGAAGTTTGTAATCCTTGTGTTGTGTGCATTATCCCCACAACGACACCTTGCCCCCACCCACCTGTGCGTCCTCAAACGTGCTCCGGAGGTTAACCACGTCTGGGTGGCCCTGTAGCATCTGTGCGTTTAAGATGGGCTGTGTGCTTCTAGACCAGACCCCAACCAACCACCCCATGCATGCACCGCACCTGTGCATCTTCAAACGTGCTGCGGAGGTTAACCACGTCTGGGTGGCCCTGCAGCATCTCCATCACCGCCACCTCCCTGCGCACGTCCTCAATGTCTTGCTGGCACTGCAGTGGGAATAGCAAGAAGAGAGAGCAGCAAAGAACGAGCTTTAGGTCTAACATGGATCATATGCTACAAGTATTTGACTCCATCACCGCCACCTCCCTGCGCACGTCCTCTATGTCTTGCTGGCACTGCAGTGGGCATTACACGAAGGGAGAGTAACAAAGGGGTGGAAATGAAAAACGGGTGGAAGTGGCTGAGATGTTATAGGCCCTTTCTCCATCACTGCCACCTCCTTCTGCGCACGTCCTCTATGTCTTGCTCGCGCTGCAGTGGGCAAGAGACGGAAGGATAGAGGCAGAGGATTAAAGGTACCTCGCTTAGGGATAACGGGGATTGATTTAGGGGGATTGATTTAGGGGGGTAGATAAGGGAGATGGGTAAGGGGGATAGATACGCCGCATACCCCTCTCTCTCTCTCCCATAACCCATTGCTGTTACAACCGACCATGTACCTGTGGCATCTCTCCACTGGTCCCATCCCATACGGTCATACCTGCACCATCCCTATGCTACCCCCGCACCGCACACCTGCAGCAACATTTCCCCACTACCCCCAAGCCACGAATTCCGTACGAGCAGCAGCATTCCAGCACCCTCCCAAACCCATACCTGCACTGCAGCATCCCTGCAACTTGCACCCACATACCTGCAGCATCCCTCACTTACATCTTGCACTCATGTCATACCTGCAGCATGCCTTTGCTGATTGTCTTGCATGCGAGCCTCTCCCCCGTCACCCGATCCACACAGGCTCGGATCACCCCGAACCTGCCCCGGCCCAGCTCGTTCTTATCCACCTTATAAGACTCCCTGACATCCGCAAAAGGCCGCTTCAGAATATTCACCAGCACCTGCTGCAGCGCCGCCTGTCCCCCATCCCCAGCCTTTTCCGCCTGCCCGCCCGCCGCTGCTTCTTTTCGGGCTGCCCGAATCACCTCCCGGTTTTTCCTGGTCAGTCTGGCCTGCATACCCTCAGGTGTGACAGGTCTCCTCTCAGGTGTCATAGGCCGATTCCCCCCTCTCCGCTCCCGCTCAGGCGTTTTCTGCCTTCCGCCAAAGGGGGACAGCATCCCCCCGCCCATGCGCGGAGTCCGCCTCCCCTCCCCCGTCCCCCCGTCCTCCGCGTCCGCCCCTGCGGGCAGCTGCAGCGCTGCCACTTCCGCCACTAGCTTCTCCTTCTCCGCGCGCCTGCGTTCCTTCTCCATCCGCCTCCTCTCCTCCCTCTCCCTCGTTTCCCTCTCAAGCCGTTTCAGCTCCTCTGCAAGCTTGCGCCTCTCCTCCCTCTCTCTTTCTAACTCTAACGCTAATCGTCGGTGCTCTTCTCTCATAATATCCTCCTCCCGCCGCCTATACCCCCTCCGCGGCTCCCTCTCCCCCCGCCCCCCGGTCCCCATCCGCCCGTATCCGCCATCCTCATCGTCGAAATCCTCGTCAAACGCATCCTCGCCGTCCATTTGGCTCCCCTCGGGGACGTCCTCGCGCATCCTGCGTGCGCGCTCCGCGCGCCTGCGCCTGCGCTCCTTCTCCTCAATCAACCGCAACTCCTCCTCCTCCTCCTCGTCATCGTATTCCCCCTCTGCCCCCGGACCCGCCACCGTTCTCGATCGCATTGCACCAGTGTACCGAGTGCCCCTGTGCCCCCCATATCCCCCCGCCTCCTCCTCCTCATCCGCCAATTCGGACGCGGAGCGCGGAACCCCCTTCTCCCCCCGCTCCTTAGAAAGCATGCCCGCCAGCGGAGTTCCCTCAGTGGTCGAAGCGGAACGGGGGACCCCCGCCCTCCGCCCATGCACATCCGCCGTTTTCGGACGGCTTAGCCCCTCCCCCGCAAACCCCATTCGCCCCGCCATCTCCATCCCCGTCGGCGTCCGCGGGCGCGCCCCCCCTTCCCCGTGTTCCACCGCACTCCGCCTACCGGCTGCGCTTCGCAGCCTTCCCGAGGGGCTAGGCGCGGGCATTTCCCCCCCCGCTCCGCTGCTCCGCGAGGGCGGGCGCGGGAAGAGCGCGGAGCCGGGGTCCCCCGCATCAGAGGCGTGAGAGCTCTGGCGGGACGGCGGGCGGTGCGGATCTCTTTCCCCCGGCGGCCTCCGCCTAAGCGGGGACCGCATTGGCCCGCCCTCGTCCGCGTATCTCGAGCGCATGCGCGGGGGGGGCGTGCGGGGAGTGTGTTCAAACCCGCCGTCCCCCCGCTCGCGCATGCTCCCCGCGCGCCTGCCCATGTCGTCTTCGTCCCCCAACGCCCTGCGCCGGGGCCGCCTCTCCCCCTCCTCGTACGCGATATCGTCGTCTCCGTGTTTTGGATGGTACCGTCGCACGGACGACGACGTTGACGACATGCTTTCGCGATCCGGCGAAATCGGCCGCCCGCCACCGCTGCCCGCCCCACCTGCCGCCCCTCCGGCCCCGCCGAGCGCAATTTTAGCCTCGGACGCGCTAGAAGCAGACCGGTTAATCTTACTATCCGGGTCATCGCCTGCGTTGTACACTTGCACCGATCTGCACCGTCGCGCAAACCGCATGTTTGCGGGAACCCGCTCCCCCCCCCCCTGCGCCTGCTCCCCCCGCCCCCGCGCCCGCGCCCCCTTCTTGAATAGACTCCTCCACCCACCTACTCACAGAACGCCCCCTAGAAGGGGACATTATTTCCTCCGCGTCTTCCGCCAGCGGGGACTGCAAGCGCTCCCGCGCGCTCCCCCCGAATCCCCCTCCCGCTGCGCGCGCGGCGGAGTGCGATTTGGGGATCCCGCGCGGAGAACCAACGGGTCTGTCCCCACCCATCCGCGGAGAGACAAGCGTTCCGCCATCCTCCCCACCCATCCCCCCGAGACCGGACGAACGCATTCTCCGCCCCCCGCTGGTCGCTGGCCGAGCTGCGCCGCCAGATTCTCGCAACCAATCAGGAGGCCGGCCAGCACCGGCGGTCGACAGGTCATCTGCGCCTGAATTATCGCGACGCATTCGCCTCCCTCCTGACGTAGACGGCCGTGCGCCTCCGTAGTCGTCGACTGCGTGGCGGCCGCGCTCAGGGCGGGGGGATTTCTCGCGGCGCAATACCCCGTTAATCGACCTCCCTCCGCTCCCGCGCTCCCGCTCGTCGTCATAATCGTCCAATCCAAGGCCGCGACTCGACCTAGACACGCGCCGCCTCTCTCCTTCCGCCATAGATATTTCTCTCCTGCTTAAACGGCTGCTCTCTTTCCCAAGCTCGCTACTGCTTTTCCCAGCGCCTAAAGTAGCGTTTAACTCCGCCCACGCATCGCGGTAAGCGGAGGGTTTCTTAGGAGGGAGCTCGTAACCTTGCGAATCGTCAGCTGTGCTACTAAGCGGGGTGCTGTCAGGAGACGGTAAACGGCCTGACGCTATAACGGGGTCCGCACGTCCTGATGCTATAACGGGGTCGGCTATCTGTAGTATCGCTACGCCACCAGCTCCTCCTCCCCTGCCGTTAGAGTCCTCCGCACCACCGACGCCCATGATAGGCGGACCATTATCCGCACATGACACGTCATCAAGACATGACACTGAGAATATGATTAAAAAGAAAGGTGTGCACCTGCGAACTCCTCGTACGTGTAAACTAACAGGTGTGAAGTAACAGGTATAGCTTGGAATACAGAATAACACGTATTTTATACACTAAAGATCGCCTAATAAATTTAACGAAAGCCGCTGATCCGCGTAACCCTAATACCAGTGATTAGCATAGCAAAGAGCTCGATGCCTGTGCCCAATGCAAGCCACGTTAGTTAGACCCTAAACTTCACAGAACAATCGGATTAGGTTTCAGAGGCTCGAGGAAATTTAAACTGCTACTGCTGGTTGGGCTGTTTCTAAGAATGGCTCCTGTTGCGACAAGTGTGGGATTGCCGAACAGAGGCACCAACTCAACTACTGTCGCTTCTGTGGCGAAGCCTGCACGGGCTTGTGTTGTGCAACTAATGAAGCTCTCCTAGCTCTGATGTCCCAGGCCCCCATTCTTGCGATGCGATACGGTTTAATGCATTCTATATTGTCTGTAAACGATATTGCGTGTTCTAGTACGTTTCGAGGGAAAACTGGAAGTTACTGGCCCGGCTGGTTGGTTTGAGGAGCGCTCTGGCTGGGGAAACGGATGTCATCGCTGTTTCAACAGCCGTGTGCTGGACTGACCCAACCAACCAGACGAACCTCGATATTGTCGGGCGGGCTGACCCTCTCACAAAGTGGGAACATCCCATCGACGACCTCGATACTGTCGCAGTCACTTCGATATTGCGGAAATTATCAATTTCGCGCGCATCTACATTTCGTGTGCTGCTGTTTGTTGATTCAAGTAGCTGCAACAATGTTGGATCAGTTTCCCGCCAAACCAACAAATCTCTGGCCCGTCTGAAAGCCAGCGAAGGGGTGTGTGCTCTGCTGATTTACAGCGGGGACAACGCCAAAGCCAACCATCCACAAGAGCATCGTGGAACTCACTGACTGGCAGCGCTCGTTCTCGAATTCCATTTCTTTACAACCGACCTGTTGAGCTGTGAAACACCGCCATGTCCCAGGAATGAGAGAGTTGTGCTGTCGCGTTGTTGTTTCCCTGCTGCTTTGGTTCGAGGACAATCTGGGAAAAACCCCTGTTGCGTGAATACCAACGATGTTTGGTCTAGGCCCATCCCGTCGTGTAGCGACGCCGCAAGTGCCGTCAGAAGATGAACTCCTTAGGCTTGCAGATGAAGCGACGGCAACTGCGGCGAGAAAAGCAGAGACCCTGGCTATGGTAAAGGAAGGAGCAGTGGCGCAGATGCAGGCAGAGGGGCAGCGTCTCGATGCAGATGCCTGGATGTTTGAAGCTCCACGATTCAACCCACGAGCGCTTGCATGATACGTAGGATCGGCGCACCTAATGGGCAATTTAGACGCAGGCGAGGACTCCCCCTCACCTGCTCCTCCCATCCCCTCACAATCACTGTAACCGCCAATTCGTCGCCTGTTTTATTATGACCACCTATTCGAGTTCCATCGGCTCCCCTTCAACTGACACTTGGTTGATAGTGAAGTTATGGCGCCTGGTTGCTGCATATGTGGCAAGGAACCCTTATATTACTCCAGCATTAGAAGAATCTCATCCCACAGCTGCTTTTAGAACACAATAAGATCCGCTCTGTTCTTGAATGGTGCTTTTGACGCTGTCGCTCCTGACGTACAAATGTAAATATCCATCATACTAGCATGAAAGGGCAGAGGGAGAAATGTGTTGTCTTAACTGTGTATAATCTACGTATTGGTACATGTATCAAATGTTCCGCTAAAGACTACCTTACCTGTATCACTTTTAAGATCCTACTTCCTGGGACTATCTATAATGTCCATGATTTCCTGGATGTCACCAATGAGCATTGGACTCCACTTGCTCTCAGAAGCTTCCCCCAATAAAGTTAGACCACAGTAAAGCCACAGTGACGACGAGAAGCACTGACCAAACAATGACAATTGTGGGAACACGATCCCTCTTCCCAAGCAGACCCTTGGCGAATGGGTAAAGATGGACAAGGACCCAGAAGCTGAACACTAGCTTGCCAGCAAGCTTCCCTGCAAAGCATATCCATGCACACAGGCACATCATAGAGGTTGGCGTGTCAGTGGACCATGACGATTGACAAGTGAGTGAGGGAGTGGGAGAGAGTGACGTAGGGAATGAGTGAGAGCAGGGCACACGAGGGGAGGAAGGAGTGCAAGATTTTGGCAAGAAATGTCAAAGCACAAACGGCAAAGAGATGGAGCAGATTAGCACTTACCCCATTCCTGTGACCCATCTGAGCTCATCGCTCGTCCAACCCCCACAATAATGCCCAGAATGTTGAAAAGGCCAATGAAGCACCCAGGAAGGAGCAGCCAGGAAAACTTGAAAGTATGTAGCTCATCCACTTCTCCTTCATCTCCACCTTTTGACGTCAATGTAAAGCTGATCTCCAACCCAGCAATAACTTTCAACAAACCCTGTGGAGAAATAGAGACAAAGAGTTAGGCGATCGGCGTGGAGAACCACTAGCAGATGGGCAAGCCAGCTGCTACTGGCAAAAGATCAAAGAAAGTTAGTTGTTTAAGTTCTTCTCTTGCCTGCACAACGGCTGCAAAATGAGAGCTTATCCCAGCAATCAACCAAAACTGTTCGTTCCTCCACCATGCTTCAAAAGAAACTTTGCTCCACTTCAGCTCCAGCACAGAGGATGCCAGAAACGACAGGATGAGTACAGCAAACCAGATGACTGCATAGCGATCCAGCTGCAAGAGAAGAAGAACAACCAGGTCAACAGCAGAGAAAGTTAAAACTCCAAACCAATCAGGAGCACAAGACAAGCATTGTCAGCAGTGGCGCCCAGTCAGCAGCGGTCAGAGGAACCCAAGATTTTGTGACACCAAGTCCTCACCGTTGGGACAAAGAAAAAGTCGGTAAGCAGGGCAAGAGGTGGCAGAAGACAGTACGAGAATATTGCCACACTAGTAAATGGATAGAATGCGTTGTTTGCATACCTGCACCATTCAAAAGAAAAATATCGTCAGCCAAAAAAGTCAGACCATCATGTTGTCAAGCAAGCCAACCACTCACGCTATCCTTTGACGGAGTTTCAGTTTAGTGCCCCACTGAGACCATAATGGATTTCTTCCACTGAAGAAGATCTCTACAGCTCCTGTTGCCCATCGCTCAACTTGGTGCAGACGATCTGTCATGTTGAGTGGAGCAGACCCCTTGAATGCAGCACGGTCTGGATCACAATAAGCAGAACGCCATCCTCGTGTATGAATTTTCATCCCTGTAAGAATGTCCTCAGTGACTGAGCCATACATCCAGCCCACAGTCTTGCCCCAATCCGTGTTGGCTTCATAGTCACAGCTGATGGTAAGGACTACATCACTAAGCATAGATCTTGGGCTTAAAGGCTGCTCCTCAACATCTCCCGACAGGTTCTCATCACCAGTTGCGGTGTTGACGAAATGGGCACAAGCACCCAGCCTTGCTGGGAGCTTGGGTTTCTTCACCAGTTGAGTGGAATCTGTTATGAGTACAGTAAAGAGAATGTCATCAGTGAACAGAATGCGCAAGAAAAACCACTTGCCAATGACAAAATGTGGCATACCCTGATCATTTGATTCATGTCCATCCAATGAATCTTCCGGTGTCTTTCGGGGAAGGCAGCAGCAGCACAGGTAGCTCCACAGACCGTTCTTGGCTTTCTTTGACATGCCAACCTTACTTGGATTTGGAGAGGGAAAATAACCATAGAGAGCCTGAAAGAATATAGGGAGGTTATTGTTTCTGTGACGTACAATTTGATGCACTCCAAAGGAAGCAGATCACTGATTACAGAGTCACTTACACGGCGACGAAAAAAACATCCTGTTCCAACATACACAGGCCCTTGCTGCCCATCGAGGCCTTTCATGTTGATGTCGAAGAACACTGTGTTATGGTTTGCATAACGATCATTCCTGTCAATTCCATCAAAACGCTGGGGGAACTGCACGAAGCCTGTAGTGTAACCTTGCATGGGATCCAAGAAGAAGCAAAGCGCCTGCAGGACATCAAACATATCAGTTTCCTTGGTCGAAAAGATAGCAGTTCAGCAGACATCACGACATACATCGCGAATAGCATCAGCATTGTTGATGTAGTGATCGCAGTCCAAGTTCATCAGCACAGCACCGTTAGTGATTAATCCGCTGGCTCTCAAGAGAGCATTCATCGCTCCTGCTTTCTTGTTGTGATCATGTCCAGGCCTCTTCTCTCGTGAGACATAGATGAGAGGTGGAAGAACTCCTCCCTCAAAGTCACGAACGTCTCCATCAGGGTGTAGAAATACCTGGTATGA